AGGTAGAAGACATCAAACAGATTACTGTAGCACAACATGTATCAATGAACCTGCAATGCATGTTGGTGACTGTTTCACATGTTACCACGTTAGAAAAAAATATAATAAAATTCTGATTTTTTGTCATTAATAAGTTCCTCAAAATTCTATTATAAGCCAAATATCACTACAATAAAAGAATTGGTTCCAGTGCTGTACTATTTAATATGAAGTGATTTGTTTTTTACTATTTCATAAAAAAGTGTGGTGGAGTTGCTGTTAGGTGATCTGCAAGATGTCTCCAAGTGCAAAGGGTTAGTATATTCATGCAATGTAAATGAGTGAACTTCTACAGATACATATAACAGAATGAATGATTCTCATAAATAATGTTGAGTGAAAGAAGCCAGACATAAATATAGACATATTATACAATTTGGTATATATAAAGTTTAAAAAGCAGGCAAAATAAACAGTATTTTAGGATGTGTGCTTGGATGGAAAACTGTAGGGGAAAAAGAGAGAAGTGATTGAGAGGTACACAAGGAAAACTGGGGTTGATCTGTTTCTTGGTCTAAGTGATATTAGGTATGTGATAATTTATTGATCTCTACATTTTTGTACTTATTTGTTTCACAATAAATGAGGTTTGAATGGGATGGATAGGGGTGTGGAGTTAGTTATTCCAGGTTCTGATTTCCCCTAACCTTATTTTAACTTCTGTATCTGCCCCTAAAAAGCCTATAAAGAGATTTTCCCATTGGCACATCAGTCCTTCATTTAATTAGCATTAAGTGTTTTGTTTTATTTTTTAAGCCATACACGCGTGCCCTATTATCTGACATTTTGAAGTCCTTAACAGCTTCACATGTAATTTATCTGAACAATGAAGATTGATGGAAATGTACAGTTGGAACTCTCTTCTTTAGTAGAGATACACATCTTAATCTCCCTCCTTAGACTGTAAACTCCATAAGATCTGGAAATGACTTTTTTTTTTCTTCTCTCCTGTTGCTTACTGTATAATAAGTGTTCAGCAAATATTAAGTCAAAAGCATGTTGCTTGCATAGAGGTGCAAAATCGGTAACTTTCTTAACAGTTATCAATATATTGCTCAATGTCTATTCCATACCAGACATATAAATATATATGACTGTAGCTATGTTCCTTGAAGACTAAAAATGTTGCTGTACATAATTTTTAATTCTATTACCATGCTTGTTTCTTATGTTGATTTTGGCTTTAAAGATAATGCAACTACACTTGCGTAAGTCTTCCCAATTATAGCTCCTCCATTTTGCTTTGTTCTGTTTTGTTTTCAAGTTACTGGAGTTTGGCTAAAACATCTAGTTAATTAGCTCCTTCTCCTTCAGGACCTTTCTCCAAACCTTGAGGTCATGTACATTGTTTTAGGGTAGCATTTTGTAAGCAGCTAAAGGAGATTTACTTGCCCTGTGATGTTACTTCCTGGTTTAAAATCTGATTTAAAAAAAAAAAAGTCTGTGCATTCTATCTGTTGTTCTACAAAGGTTGTTTGCATTCAGTTTTGCACTTTAATTGTAGGCTGAATTTCTAAAATTTAGATTTATTATAAACAAATACATGTCAAATACAGTCTTTATTATAACCAGTCATTTAGTTTTGCTCTTCATGTTTTGAACCAGTATAATCTGTCTGTGGACTATATGATGAATATTTGTTTTACAGAAAGGGGAGTGTGTGTGTTTTAAGATTTATGGCTTTTTTTCCTAGAGAATAAAATTATAATGGTATCAAAAACAAAACTTTTTTGGCCAATTTAGTACTTGCTGAAATAAAGTTACAAATGTTTACTCAGTAACTGATTAGTTTCTAAATCAGTGACTTTTTTTTTCTAATAAGGATCAATTTCTTTTCCTATGACAAATGCTCATATATTTAAGAAGTCATTATTTTCTGTTGTGAAAGGCACCTGAAATCTGTAGTTTTCTCTAGTTCTCCTGTGAAATATTGTAGAGATCTTAATTTTAAAACTATTCAGGCCGGGCTCGGTGGCTCAACCTGTAATCCCAGCACTTTGGGATGCTGAGGCTAGTGGATTGCCTGAGCCCACGGGTTCAAGACCAACCCGGGCAACTTGACGAGACCTCATCTCTACAATAAATCAAATATTAAGTGGGCATGGTAGCACACGCCTGTAGTTCCAGCTCCTGGGAAGGCTGAGGCAGAAGGATCATCTGAGCCCAGCAGGTCAAGGCTGTGGTGGCTGTGATTGTGCCACTGCACTTCAGCTTGGGTTACAGAGTGAGACTCCAACTCGGGAGGGAGGGAAGAAGGAAGGAAGGAAGGAAGGAAAACCTATTCAGGTGAAATATAGTTAGAGCCAGTCGCGGTGGCTCAAGCCTGTAATCCCAGCACTTTGCAAGGCCGAGGCGAGAGGATTGCCTGAGCCCACGGGTTCGAGACCAACCAGAGCAACATGGTGAGACCTTATCTCTACAATAAGTCAAAAAATTAACCAGGCCTGGTAGCATGTGCCTGTAGTTCCGGCTACTTGGAAGGCCGAGGCGGAAGGATCGCCGGAGCCCAGCAAGTCGACACTGGGGTGGCTGTGAGTGTGCCACTGCACTCCAGCCTGGGCGATGGTATGAGACTCCAACTCAAAAAAATGTGTGTATATATAGAGAGAGCGAGAGCACGAGCGTGAGAGCATGCACTAGAGAGCTAGAAATTTCACAGAGTTTTGTCTGATAGCTATACCCTCCCCCAAAGTGATCTGTGGGCCAAGATGAATGGGTTTGACTGCAGCTCAGGACAGACTGGTTCATATTTGCTTTTCATGACACACAGATCACTTTTCCTAAACTGAGTTGCCCTACTCCTAAATGAATTATTTGACTCGTTTGCCTGGCCACTAAGAAGCAGTTTCATTTTATTGGAATACTTCACCAAAACCCTGTAATATCTTTTGGGGACAAGCAAATTTAAATACCTGAGAAAAGTTTTTTTTGTTTTTTGTTTTGAGTTGGAGTCTCACTCTGTCGCCCAGACTGGAGTGCAGTGGCCGCTCCCGGCCACCGCAGCCTCGACCTGCTGGGCTCCGGCGATCCTTCCGCCTCAGCCTTCCGAGTAGCCGGAATTACAGGCACGCGCTACCACGCCCGGCTGATTTTTGATTTATTGTAGAGATGAGGTCTCGCTGCCCAGGCGGGTCTCGAACCCGCAGGCTCAGGCAATCCACTCACCTCAGCCTCCCAAAGGCGTGGGATTACAGGCTGAGCCACCGAGCCCGGCTCCTGAGAACAGTTTTTAAATGTTGGTTGTTTATTGCAGCCCTTTGTGTCTAGTTATGTTCCTACTGGTTGCATGTTTTATTTGTTGCCTTAATCTAAGAGAAGACAGATTTTTACTTCTAATATTTTATGATAATAGATCATATAAAGATTTAGTTGGTTCCTTTTTTGCACTTTATGACATCTCAGCAGAGTTAATTTGGAAGTGGGTAGCATACAAGACTATAACTGGTAATTTTTTCTTTTCATTTATTGTTTGTCAGATTTTGTCATATTTTCCTTCTCTGCCACTCTGTTTGTTAGTGATTCTCAACTGTGAGTGCAAAATAAAATTTTTGGTTTTTTTGGTTTTTTTTTTTTTTTTTTAGTCGGTGTCTCACTCTGTCACCCAGGCTGGAGGGAAGTGGTACACTCATGGCCACTGCAGCTTCGACCTGCTGGGCTCAGGTGATCCTTCTGCCTCGGCCTTCCAAATAGCTGGAAATACAGGCATGTACCACTATGCCTGGCTAAGTATTTATTTATTTATTGAAGAGACAAGGTCTTGCCAAGTTGCCCAGGCTGGTCTTGAACCCTTGAGCTCAGACAATCCTCTTGCCTTGGCCTCCCAAAATGCTGGGATTACAAGCACAATCTACCGCGCCCGGCTACAAATAAAATTACGTGGGAAGTTTTTAACTGGACCTAACCTCTAGATATTTCATGTTAATTGTCTGGGGTTGGACCTGGGCATCATGGGTTTTTTTGTTTTGTTTTTGTTTTATTTTGTTTTTAAGCTCTCCAGGTAATTTCAATGAATAGCCAAGAATTGAGAACTACTGTGGTGAATCCTACTCTATTCCATGTGATTGTTTTCCCCCATTTATTTCTTATTCTGGTACCTTAAGATGTTCCCATAAGCCAGGCACAGTGGCCCATACCTGTAATTCCAGCACTTTGGGAGGCGGAGGTGAGAGGATTACTTGAACTCAGGGGTTCAAGAACAGCCTGAGCAACATGGTGAAACCTCATCTCTACAATAAATAGAAAAAATTAGCCAGGTGTGGTGGCGCATGCCCATGGTTCCAACTACTTGGAAGGCTGAGGCGGAAGGATCACCTGAGCCCAGCAGGTTGAGGCTTCAGTGGCAGTAAGCATGCCACTGTACTCCAGCCTGGGCAACAGAGTGAGACTCCGACTCAAAAAAAAAAAAATTCCCATAAAATAATTTTTCTGATTTGTTTTCAGCTATGTCTTGTTTGGGGAAAACAAGTCAAATTCTCAACTATTATCAACAATGGGAAAGAGTGAACATGCGTACATTAAATCCACAGATGGTATGAAATTATTTATAGTTGGTGGGTTTTAATCACCTCTTTTACCAAACCTATAAACAAGGCCACAAATAAGCATATATCCACTCATTTGGATTTCTGTTACCTCTTAGTGTTCTTGATTGGAAGGTGGTGTTTTTGTCCTGTCATCCAGTTGGTTAACACGAGGAGTATTTTTTGAGCACTTACTATATTTTACAGTATTTTTTGAGCACTTACTATAATGAAGGAACTGTGAGAAAAAATTACTAGTTGTATCTTTAGCAGGCTTGTAATCTCATTGGGAAGGAAAGAATCATAAGGTCTGGATAATCCAGGTCTCACATACTAATCCCTAGAATGATCTGCATTTTAACAAGTTAATGTATAGAAGGTGCATGGGCACAGTGTCTGTTACATAATGAGTTGTTAATATGTCCCTTTTTCTCTCTCCAGGCATCCAAACAATTGACTCCACCCAGGCTCTGTTCCTTCCAATCGGAGCATCTGTCTCTCTTCTAGTAATGTTCTTCTTCTTTGACTCAGTTCAAGTTGTTTTTACAATATGTACAGCAGGTAAATGAGTTTCTCTGTCCTTAACATCTAAAAAAGAAAAAAAAATCACCATTTTTAATCATTGTTCAAAAATTATCTGATGGTAAGAGTATAGATCAAAAAACCCCACACAAATTAAGATTTATACACCATGCCATGCAAGTTTTTCTTTATAAATCTGGCTTTTTCTCCTCTCCGTCTCATCTTCCCCACAGACTCCTCCTTAACCACTTGATACATATATCATCTGTTCAGACCTGCCATCACAGTGCGAAAGAAAGGCCAGGGATCTGAAAACTCACTAGCTTTATGACACCAGAACAGTATTGCTTAGGGTGTGGCTCCCTTTCTAGTAGGCTACCAGAAGTTCCAGTTTGGTAGAGAGGTCATTGGCAACCTCTACCAGTGTTTCTGCAAGTAGAAACATTGATAGCTAATCAAGGCGATTTGACTGTTAGCTTATCTGTTTTCAAGCTAAGCGATGATGGAAATGTAAAAAGCATCCGCAAAATGCTACAAGACTTATTAGGAGATCATCCCCTGACCTGCTTTATATCTTTTCTTATTGAGATAGAAGAGAATGAGAAAACACCTATGCTTCCCCTATTTCAAATCGCGCACCTTTTTTTTTTAAAGAGGTTATGTGTGTAGTACTAAAGGAAGATATTTTTCTTCTCTAGTTAATTAACTGTATTTCCTTGTCAAGAAAAGTATTTTGGGGAATAACTACTTTTCTACAAATCATGCCATTTTTCTTAAAATTGTAAAAAAATAACAAAAATAACCATACGTTTTTTTTTTTCTAGTTCTTGCAACAATAGCTTTTGCTTTTCTTCTCCTCCCGATGTGCCAGTATTTAACAAGACCCTGTTCACCTCAGAACAAGTAAGAACTGGGGACTTTCTTCTAAGTTATAAACTTGTGTATGTTTTTCTATCATATTTGATAGCATTATTAAGAGTCTCAATTTCTGGTATAGGCTGGAGCACACAAATGTCAGCAGACTGGGAAGAAAGATGTTTTATCTTTAAAACTGAAGATAGGCGGGGCTCAGTGGCTCAGCCTATGCTCTTAGCACTTTGGGAGGCCAAGGCAAGTGGATTGCCCAAGCCAGCGGGTTCAAGACCAGCCCAAGCAACTTGGCGAGATCTCATCTCTACAGCAAATTAAAAAATTAGCCAGGCGTGGTAGCACACACCTGTAGTTCTGGCTACTTGGAAGACTGAGATGGAGGGATTGCCAGAGCCCAGCAGACTGATGCTGGGATGGCTGTGAGCGTGCCACTGCACTCTGGCCTGGGCGACGGAGTGAGGCTCCGACTCAAACAACAACAAAAAAGACCGAAGATAGTACTTCCTTTTGCATCTTTTCATGGGAGAGGAAATGTAAATAAATCTTCATAAAGTTCGAGTCATTGTAATATGCTTCCTGCTTACATTATTGAAAAACAAGCCATTTTCTTTTGAAGCAGTGCTCATTTCTTTACTGGTGCATTAATGGAATATGAGAATAGTGGTTGAACTCAGACATTCTCCTTTGTCTTTTGTCTTTGGTGACCTAGATATGCCAGCCACTTGCATTTAATCCCAGTGCTCACAACCTAACTCCTAAAGCCATTGCTCCATGGAAACAAAATGCTGTACTGATAGAGATGCTGTATGTGCTTAGAAAATCAGTCACTAGTGGCAGCTGATTTTCTGAGGAATTAGTGATAACCAAATAGATTTACCATCTTTAAAATATTTACTCATCTTTGCTAAATGAATTGAGTTGTTGGCTTTCTTCATTTTGTTTTCCATACAGTTATAGAATTTCTTCCATAATTAGCTTCCCTTGAGGTTGATATTGTCACTTTACACTTCTAAATACCCTTGTTGATAATTTGGTCTAAAAGTACATTATCAGATGGGTCCAGTCGTGTATTTCCTTTGTGTATTCCTTAACTTATTCCAAAGAGGTTTCGGTATTTTGGATTTTCATGTGTCTAGGTGTTGCCAGCTTTTTTTTTTTTGAGTTGGAGTCTCACTCCGTCGCCCAGACTGGACTGCAGTGGCTGCTCCCGGCCACTGCAGCCTTGACCTGCTAGGCTCCGGTGCTCCTTCCGCCTTAGCCTTCCAAGTAGCTGGAACTACGCCCGGCTCATTTTGATTTATTGTAGAGATGAGGTCTCACCAAGTTGCCCATGCGGGTCTCGAACCCGCAGGCTCAGACAATCCACTCACCTCAGCCTCCCAAGGTGCGAGGTTACAGGCTGAGCCACCGAGCCCGGCTATTGCCAGCTATTTTAATCTAGCCATCATGAATCCTGATCACAAGTACCAAAGAAGAGTTTGATTATTGAATAAAGTGTGCCCATCAGTCAAATAAGTGCTGTGTGTTTTCCAGGATCTCCTTTGGTTGCTGTGGGCGTTTCACTGCTGCTGAATTACTGTCATTCTCTCTGTCTGTCATGCTCGTCCTCATCTGGGTTCTCACTGGCCACTGGCTTCTCATGGACGGTGAGTAATATGTGACAGATTATAATTTTACTTTAGTTTTATTGGTAATTTAGTATATTCACAGAGTCGTAACCATTACTACAATCCATTTTGCGGCATTTTCATCACCCACCCACCCCCAAAACCCTTATCTATTAGCAGTCGCTCACCTTGTCCCCCACCCTACCCCACTTCAGCCCCAGGTATCCACTGATCTGCTTTCTGTCTCTATCAATTTCTCTGTTGTGAACATTTTACATAAATGGAATCATACATTATTTGACCCATTGTGTCTGGTTTCTTTCACTTAGCATAATGTTTTCAAGAGTCATCCATGTTGTATCCTGTATCAGTACTTCATTCCTTTTTATGCTGAATACTATTCTGTTTATGGAAATTCCGGTTTTATTTATCCATCCACCAGTTCTTTCTACTTTGGGGGCCATTATGAATAGTGATTCTGTGAATATTTGTATACAAGTTTTTGTATGGATTATACTTTCTTATGTAAATGAGATTATATTGTAATATAATGCATAATATGGTATATACTACATATAGAACATATTATGTCATGTATAATATGTATCATATATAATCTGCATGATATATACTATATACTCCTTTTTATGTAATGATATAAATACATGTTTATATCAGTATATAAAAGTGTATCATGTCCTTTTAATAACTCCAGAGTATTTTATTGTATGTATGTTATTTAACTATTGCTTAGATTGTTTTTAATATTTTTCTGTTGTAAAGAACCCTCAGAAGCCGGGCTTGGTGGCTCAGCCTGTAATCCCGCGCCTTTGGGAGGCTGAGGTGAGTGGATTGCCTGAGCCTGCGGGTTCGAGACCCGCCTGGGCAGCGAGACCTCATCTCTACAGTAAATCAAAAAATCAGCCGGGAGTGGTAGCACACGCCTGTAATTCCGGCTACTCGGAAGGCTGAGGCAGAAGGATCGCCAGAGCCCAGCAGGTCAAAGCTGCGGTGGCCGGGAGCGGCCACTGCACTCCAGTCTGGGCGACAGAGTGAGACTCCAACTCAAAAAAAAATATATATATATAAAGGAACCCTCAGGTAAACATTCTAGTTTCATCTCTTGGTATGCATGTCAGATCACTTACTAAGATTATTTTTTAAGGATGAATTCCTAGACATGAAATTCCTGGGACAAAATGTTTTTGCATTTCAAGTTTTTTTATCTGTTACTATTCTGACTTTCAGATAGTCATAGTAGTTTATGCTCCAACCTACAGCATATGAGAATTTCCCTTCACTGATAACAATTAGGGCATAATAGTAATGACAATAGCCAAGAGTTATTATTGAGTGCTTTTTTATGCGTTGGGCACTCTGCTCAATGTATTACATGGATTATCTCATTTAATCCTCACAACAGCTCTTCAATAGGTACCACTATTATTCCCATTTTTGCAGAAGAAACAAAGGGTCAGAGAAGTAACTCATTCAAGGTCACAGAACCCCTGTGTATACTCATACTTACTACCAAAACGTCTTGGGAATGACATTTCAAAAAATCTACCACAATTCTTGTAGTCTTTCCTTTAAGACATTTTTTAACTTTAAAAAATTTTTAACTCTGTACTCTGTCTCTGCTTCCTGTATATACAGTCCTCACTCTCATTTTCACAGTTCACTTTCTTAATCTCAAGAAACGTTTAACTACTCTGCTTCACACCATCTGTCCACCTTTTTCCTTCTTCTGATGGTTCAAAAGGGAAGGAAGTTAAAATATAAAGGCAGTCAATGTTATACTATTCTTAATAGTATCTAAATAATTTTTAAGGGAGAAATTTGAAAATTGGGGATTATAGGTATAGAGTGCATCTATTTCTGTATCCATTCCAAGCAACCCCAAGGCTACTCCAGACCTTGGAAACAGAGCTCTTTGGAACCATTGCCAGCCAGGTCTGGGAGGCTCCTCTGCACTCTGCCAGGCATTTCCCTGCAGCCCTGGGGCTGGCTCAGCTGTGGTGGAGTTGACATTCATGCTGTTGTCTAAGTCCAGAATCACCCAGAGCGACGCTTACTGTGACAGCCTCAAATTCAGGAGTAGCTGAGTTAGTCAAAAAATTTCTAAGTTCTGATCTTATAGAATATATATACTTCCTGTATATCTATAGATCTTATGCTTGCTGAGTAGTATTGGTCCCTACTTTGAGAATTTTTTTTTAAGTGGTGTTTTTATATTTATACTTTTTAGAAAATACTTGCATCGAAAATGTGAATTAACTCAAAATCTAGGGTGTTCTGTTCATGGTCACATTGGATATAATTTGACAAACAGATTGTAAACTCTTATTTTTTTTCTGTGATCCAGAATTAGAATCCTATCAGTCTGCTTAGGAAATGTTCAATGAAAGGAAATTGTTATATTCTTAATGAGGAAGAAATTCTAAACCTTAAGGAAAACTAAAAACTTGTCCTTCTGCTTTAAGGAATTTTTTTTCCCTCAAATCCAGCACAAGGATTTGAAATTTATATGTGCCAAATTAATTAGTAAAAAGCTGTAAGAAAGTGAATATTGCAGGGAAATAAACCATCAAGTGGATTGCAGGTTCTACAGAATTTTATTTAAATGACATATTTTTAATGAAAGGTGATATTTAAGTGAAAGTACTTTTTAAATTGTAAAGTCTAGCTGGGCTCGGTGGCTCAACCCATAATCTTGCGCTTTGAGAGGCTGAGGTGAGTGGATTGCCTGAGCCCGCGGGGTCGAGGCCCGCCTGGGCAACTTGGCGAGACCTCA